CCAAGGCCGCAGGATTGAATTGCGGCTGCTACGACCGCATTTTCATGGAGGACAAATGCATGGTAGAGGCCTGCGTGCGTAGATTTATCTGCACGCAGGCCTCTACCATTAAGGAACCCCATGTGATCGAAATCCCCGGAGCGCTCCAATAGGGCGTCTTTATTAATCATGTCGCGATTTTAGGACGTCAAACCTCCACATAGTTAAGACACAGTCATTCTAGAATTAAACTCCTTTGGCGTGAGATCGGCAATCTCGATACGGTTTGAGACTATAATATTCCAGGTTGGTGTATCTCAAACGACGGGGCTTCGATTGTCGTTTTCTTCGAGCGCCCGCGTATGTAAGGGCGTCGTCAATAGGGACAGTAGGCACCCCTCACGTCACACCCGCACTTGCCCACACCCAAGCCACAACAGCACTCTCACCTTTCCTCAGCTGCGATTCAATACGGGTTCGCAACCCCAAGACAAAACCCTGCCGACATTCGTGTGAGCGTGTGTTTCGCGCAGTGAGGATTAAGCAAACTATTTTCTGCGCTTCGTACCTTCGCTGACTTCGGCGGACGTTCTTGTGTTCTTCCTCCCAAACATTGGCTGCCACGTGCGCGGTGCGAGACCGGAGGCGCCATCACACATTTCACCCTCGCCCACTCCACCATGTATCCTTATTGGTTTCAACAAGCGAACAAGCGAAATTTCTAGCGTTGCGTCAAATGCTGCCTTGCGTACTCCCGTATATATTGCACGTGTCGACCACTTCTTTTCCTTTCTTGTTTCCTTAATGATTCGCCGCTACCGTCGTTCCGTCGCAGTTACCGGTAGGCTGTTCACGTGAGCTCTGGGCGTGTGCCTTTGCAAACTCGTTCGATCTGCGGGCACTAAAAGCGCTGCGCGCTGGACACGAGCTACGTGGTGCATTATTTCCCTCAGTTTAAATACGAGCTGCAAAACAAGTGTCGGCAGTCATGTAAGCATACACGAATGAATCTGACGTTTTTGAACAGGAGCGACAACATTTGTATTGACGAATTTTCGCTTACCTATACTATGTATAGAAAGTTCTTTATATGCAATCACTGTCACTTTTATGACTTCACAGAATAAAAATATATATCGCGAGAAAAACAAGTATATTCACAGAATAAGAAATATGTCGACACCTATTGCCCTAAAGATGCTTCACTGTGTTAACCATCTAGGCATTTGCCTCACTACGGGTGCTTTTCGCACCAGCACCGTTGAAAGCCTGCACGTGTAATACAACGAGTGGTCGCTCCACCTACGTTACATGTCCTTCCCATATTATTTCAGAGTGAACGCACACAAGGAACACCCTTCACATTCTACAATTAATGCCATGTCCTGCTCTGCTTCAAAACTGGTCTTCTTTCAGACAACCTACTCGCTTCGTGTGGGGGCCCAGCTGAGGAAACTGATGTGCCACTCGAATACCGCTTGGTGGCTTGCGCAGTGTGTCTGCCACCGTGGCAGTGGCTGACGATAGATTGCTATGTTTATTTCCTAGAGGTTTCAAAACACGTACCCATATCTGCACATGTTTCCTGGAACTGCTCCAGAAATACACACGCCCTGAGTTCTTTATAGATGCCACTGTGACGTCTCCGCAAACACGGACAGAACCCCGGTCCTTTCAAGATGTTTTCGCTCGTTTCTTAAGCCCACGCATAAAAAAATGAAAAGAAAACCTTCGGTGTAACGAATGGGCATTCCTGAGTGGAGTACCTGGAAGGATTATTTCTACTGTTCTCGCGGGCCCCCGCGCAAACACGAGGACCGGGCGGCGCCTTGTCGTCTACAGACAGTGTGGCAGTGTACGGTGCAAATAATCCGCACGTACCCTTCATATTTGTGGCATGGGGGAGCAGCAGAACACCTTTTGTTGGTTCGGGGAATGCGTCCCTGCCGTAGCGCCTGTGCCGGGTCCGGTTTGACTTTCCGTGAGCCTCCGTGGCTCCAGGGCTCATTACTGCGTCCTGCACGAATGGCCACCCGCGGCGTTGAATGACGAAGAAGCGGCGGCTACGGAGAATTTCGCGGGAGACACCGAGCTGCATGGAAACGTTGAGACTTGGTCTGGACATCGGCTCATCAAGTATCGGGAGCATCGAGACCATTGTTCGCCCGTAATTAAAGTGTCTTGGGACAGCTCGCCCATCTCTCTCTCTCTCTCTCTGAGGCTTGAGTTTGTACATTGTTACTTGCTCGGCTTTGTTTGGGATAGGATTTTCTACTGGTGTGGGCCGCGGGGGCAGCCGTTGAAGATGATACACTCCGACTGACAAGAAAATATGCCGCGTTGATAGTGGCGATTGGTTTGGTGCCCCGGTGGGGCGGAGTCGGGTCCTACAAAAAGGGACTACGAGACGATACGAAGGGAGTCGGAGATACGATGCGATGAGCTCGAGATGGTAGAGAGACGGAATGGAAAAGGAAGATAACGGTGTGAAGAGATAGCAATGAGAGTCGATGAGATGATGAGTGAGGCAGAGATGATATGACGAGGAATGAAAGTTAGAGATGGGAAACGAAGAAGCGAGTGATTGCGGGACGTCATGAAAGAAGATTAAGATGGAAATCGCGGAGAGAGAGACAACGAAGACGACGAAGACGATGACGACTGACAACACGGACCATTCGTGAGACGAACTTTACGCACCTTATTTAGACGAGTCTGGCAGGCAGGGAAGTGGCGAGTTGGGACATTGCATGGTTTTATTCATTGATAACTTCATCATTTGTGTCTTCGTGTGTTTGCTTTATATATGCATAACCTTGTGTTGTTGCAGTTACTTTCTTTATGTGCCTGCCCTGTGTCTAACGTCGCGAGTGTCTAAATCATGTGATATACTTTGTATAGTGATTGATGTACGCGGGTATACGATGTTTACACTTAGTAATAAATTAAATGAATCGGTAAACAGGAACAGGTCGTAGCGTCTCTTACATCCCGGCCCCAGTACGAATCCCTGTATGTGGAAAGTGATTGAGACACGTAGCCAAGAGGGAACCGGATAGACAAGGGGTTGCGTGGTCTTCCCTCTCTTTGGTAATCGGTGGCGTAGCGGGGGACGTTTCACCACGAAGTTCAACACTTCCGTGTCATACACAGCGGTCGGCCAATCCTTTTCAGATGCCGGTGTTCTGCATCTTGATACAAGCATTTTCCCGGGTGATGCGTATGCGATAAACTCGCGGCCGTTAAACACAATTTACAAATAAAATTTTAAAAGGCAGTAATAGTATACACCGATTCTTTAAGCGCTGTAAAAGCTCCAAAAATCGTAAAAACACAAACCCCATCGTTGTCTCACTTTAAACAATGCACAGTGTACACATTCAAACATTGTGTCATAGTCTGCTGGGTGCCAGGGCACCGCGGTATATCAAGAAAGGCGTTGCCGGATGAGCTAGCTGCGTCCTTCAACGCAGCCTACTGCAGATACATTCATGGCGATCCCTGCACTTATTATTAAACCTCTCCTGAAACAAAAGCCCAAAGCTTATTGGCAGAGCACATAAAATACGCACACACAAAATAAATTGCCGTTATCAAGCCGCAATTAAGTTATTGGCCGCCAGTATTAAAGTCTTGTTGCACACAACACTTAAGGCTAAGAACGGGATATACGCACACTGCACACTCATACTTTCTACAGCGAAAACTGTGATGAGATCAGAACACGGGTCACGCGCGGCGCTGCTTAGTTGTCCGCCGCCGCCAGTGTCCGTAACCAGTACCGAAAGGAAAAATAACTTTAATGACACAATGGCAACCGAACTAGGGTCCGCTGCATGTCAGCCCAGTATTCTATCACTGAGCCATGCCAGTGCTTGGAACTCGTTTATAAACTGGCTTTAGGCGGGCTTGATTTCCGGAAAGAAATCACGTCAATATCAACAATAAAGTGTTTTAGAGCATAAAAGGAACAGTCAGACGTCACACAATGCGAATCGCGTAACGACTGGGTCTTCCAATGCTCCAACTCATTAGAAAACTTGTTCTTGATCGCCTACTAACTGTGGCGAATACCCACTTCACGCATAATTCTTCATCGTCGTCAGCCACTGTATAAATAAATCGCGCAAAATTCGTAAGAGGTGTGGTTCTCGAAAGAATGACGAAGGATGGCATTGTGAAAGCTGGCCTACTAGACAAAATGTATGATTATTTATGGCGCTATTGATACGCAGCAGTGTGATTTTAGCATCCTAAAGAGTGGTTGGAAAAGGCTCTGAAAAGCCGCTCTTTCAGCTTTCTCTCTCTGTCTCTCTCTCTCTCTTTTTTTTTTTGTCTGGTAGCCATCCACCATTGGGCCAGAGATGTGGTGAAGCACGAACAGTGATTCATATTTCAATACACTGTAAATAGAATAAGGCACGCTCACAATACAGCACTCTATCATCCACAAATACCATTTTATCCTGCACTTTTCATCGGAAGAAAACCACTTTTGAAACATCAATCACTGTTATGTGACGTGCGTGCTTTTCATGTCATATACCCAGGCATTCCGTAGCACGACCTCTGAGGAGAGGCATCTGCTCCTGTGGCTACATAGCACATGCCTCGCGGCACTTGGACGCAAGGGCGTTGACGAGGCACTTCTGCTAATGTCATATATTTCCACTATGGTTTTATTATCACGAACTTTCGCTATTGATTCTTATTACACACGTTCCAAGCCGCTTTCAGGATTTTGGTACCTCTATGTTTTACCCGCCTTGGCGCGAGGAATGTTAAGGCCCTTATGCACCCACTTCCCTTAACCATTGTTCACACCTTCTGTCTCAAGGCCTGGCACTCTTTGACTGCCCTTGTGCCACAAAACGCCCCCCATCATCGCATATAAGGAATGCTGCTCAGTCATGAGATGGGGCGATAACTCGGTGGGGAGCTTTTATAACCTGATTTATTTGTCGACAGGAAATCGATCAATCTATAACCATTATGTATACGCCCAACCATATTGTGTGCAGATCATCAGCCTTTCCGGTCTCACGAAGATGATGTGCATCATGGGCGAGAGCAAGGCCAACGTTCCACGGTGGCAGTCTGGGTTTTCTGTAAGTACACGCTTACCTGTGCTGTCCAAAAGGCATTTCGCCTCCTTTGAAGTGCGGCGCGTTGATCTCTCGGCGGCGGTCAGGGCCGTGGCTATAAGTTGATGCAGGGATGGGCGCTTCTGGCCAGTCCCTGTGCATGTTCGTGCATGTGTTCGTATGATATTTATCACGAACTTGGTGGTGCGGAGCCTGCCTTTAGGACCATTGTGCATTTCTGTTTTGTTTATTTTAGCTCGCCTTTGAGCTATTAAACAGACAGAAACATTTTTGGCTAAGCTTTGACCGTTTTTTTTGGAGCCGCGACATCATTGGGATGCCTTTATTTTATTATTATTGTACGGAGAGGGTGATGTCACGCTCCAGCGGGGTGTGAAAGAGAAGAGCCAAGATGTTAGCGGCTGCCGTGGCCGAAAAATTAACTGCTTCGAGTTCATTGTTTGTCGTTTCCTGCTGCGACTGTCTGTCTGTATGTTGTTTATATACAGCATGTCCCAACCATCTTGGACTGAGATTTAAAAAAAAAGCATGCATTCTACGGAAGTTCTATTTGTTGTATATTAGTGGTAGCCGTGTGTACTTGCAAGCTGAATTTTCATTACTTAGCTCTAATTAATTACTTAATTGGCTAGCAAAGCCAAATTTTTCACTCTTGTTCGAATCAGTAAAAGATTGACTTAATGTCAATAACCCTAAAATCAAATATTCATTTTTTGCTGAAGTCTGCCTGGTTGTTTTTTTTTTTTGAGAAAACACTAAAGCGCGCAAAACACATGAAATCTAAAAAAATAGACCCCCACATGCGCTCCGCTTTTCAAGCCCTTTCAAGCGTTCTATATAGGTTGATTTCGATTCACCCTGCATTTTCTGAACATGTTCATGGTGGTACCATCTGAATGCCGTCGTCGTGAAGCAGATATTACAGCAAGTGCAGCAGCAACGAGACGCGGAAAAGAATACGAGAGTGCAGATGTCGTGCGAGGCTAGTGCTACTGGTTGGCTGTCTGGCCGGTTGTGGAGCCTGCATGTGATTCGTATACAGATGACAACGCCGCTTACGTTGCTTAGCACGTGCAACTACTAGAAAACGTAGACTCGGCATTACCTCACAAGCAGGTGCCCGGAATTCGTGAATTGGCCTTGCACGACACCTGATTTTTTTTTTTTCGAAAGGAATACTGCCGTGCCAATGCCGCCATGTTGAACTCGTGAATGAATGCTGAAGTAGAAGGTATGCTAGTTTTTGAGTGACGCGATCCGCTAGCCATGGGTCGATTAAGGTTCTGTCAAGAGGTGCTCTATAATAATCAACGTAGACGTTCACGATTGCGTACACAGCTGCTTTGCGAACCCTCGCCTCCGCCGCACTCATGCTCGTTTATTCTTTCTTACTACTACGCTGTGTGTGAGACAGAGAGGAGTAAGCGGTTTTATTATACAGAGCAGCGCAGCGCCGCTACTGGTCTCCACTCATACCAGAGCACGCACCGGAGTGGAGCGAACGCTCTACTGCAGAACCATCTAGTGAGCCCTCCGAGGGCTAGCATGGCTACGACGAGGGACAAGCCCCGACTATGAGAGAAACTACGTATGATGACGTGTGCCTGCATAAAACGGCGTCGCAGCAACGTCTCTTTATTTGGTCCGCGGATTCGATTCTGTTGAATGAGCAATGCGTACGCCGCGAGCATGACGCAATAATAAAGAAAAGATCATGTGTTTCCGTGGATTCGAGTGGCGGGCGCGTTGAAGACGCTTGCGCTAGGCTTTCTTGGCTCGCGTCTTGTCGGTGTTACCCGCGCGCCGTCTGCATTCTTGAACGCGATCGGGCGCATGCACAGACGGATGGACGGACCGACGCTTCGCCCCACTCATCATTCTCTCCGTGGATATGCTGTGATTTTTTTTCTTTTTTAGTACCAGGATGCTGAAGGCAACAAGCGAGAGCACATTGTATATAGTTCTGTAAAGTTTTCAATCAGTGAATCAAGCAATGATTGAGAACTAATCGTCGATGACGCAGTTAAAGCATGGCGTCCGAGTTTCCACGCCAGCGCGAAATATTGGTGGCGAAGCTTAAATCTTTTCGATAGCAAATGAAAACTCTGGCCCCGTGAGCATCGAGGAGGCGCTGACGCAGTTAGGTTCTTATAGATCGTTGTCGGAGTTGTGCAGCTCCCACATGCACCAGCGACGTGCGCTTCACCGCCGACTACTTCGGGTGTAATAGCACCCCCTTATTTAATAAAACCAGTGCAGTAAGTGCGGCAGCAATTCAACGGCATCAACGGGCGAATGTCGTCGAGGAGCGAAACCGAGGCCAGCAGGACTTGTGGCGCCTGCGCGCATTCACGTCTTAAGCTACGAGACTCCCGCGTTGCTGAATCGCAGTGTGATGTGCATGATCGCAGGTTGCCCCATTACCAAACCTCATAAGCGCGAAAATGCACGCGACAGCGACCAGCGACGCGACGTAGATCGGCTTCGCGCGATCAGCCGCTAGCGCAGGCAAACCTCATTCACGCGACGGTTTCCGCGAGCGAATTCCACTGTTGCTGGCATGAGGCCGTCTACTCGCAGCAAACAAACCGCGTAGCGAGCGGTATGCAATTTAAAAATAAGATATATTGTTGTGTAATAGAACGGAAAGTGTTTATTAATGCCTTGCAGCACTTTTTATATGCACATGCGTAATAAACATTGCGTTATTTTTTGTTGCGCATACGTGACTCGGGCAGGGTCACGTGCACGTATGTAGTGTTTAGGTCCGTTCGATTCACCTGCACCAGTCGGAACCAATTCACGGCTGTGCACGCGAAGTTCAGAAATTGTGCAGCGTGAGTTCAGCGGTGCAGGCACAGCACGACACCCGAAACGAATGACGATGTGCCGACAAGGTGCAGGCCTTATTTCTTTTCGCTTAATTTACACCGTTCAGCAAACACTGACCGATGGCAAATCGAACATGCGGACAGTTTATGAGGCGGAAACATCTTGGCAAAACACACCGCATTTGTAGAGGCGGGTACGGCGCCTAAGCCACCTACGTCTAAGTGCTGCGTCGTCTGCTCAGCTGCACGCGCGCCTGCACCAAGCCGGCACCGTCAGCGAAGGAGGTGCAGGAAAATCATGAACCGGTGCTGCACCCATCCTGCACCTTTCGAAACGAATGGCAGGGTTCAGCGGTCGTCAATGCTGCACCGCTGAAACGAATGGCAAGGTGCAGCACCTCGTGAACTGGTTCACGTGGTGCAGGCGAATCGAACGGACTTTTTGTCTTTTCCGGTATTTCGCTATTGGCTGCTTGAGCCCAGCACGTCCGGGCGATGAGCGACGGTTTTCAAATCTGGAGAACCGAGCGATCGCGCAAAAACGAGCACGCGACACGTCGCGCGAACGCCCTGTTTCGTCGCTCATAGCGTCGCTCGTCGCTGTCGCGTGCATTTTCGCGCTTATGTGGTTTGGCCCGTAACACGAGCGCACGCCATGCTGTTTTCATAACTGACGATGCTTTGAAGACGCGATACACGCTGTGTCCAGATATATGTAAAAAACTTCAGTTCCCGGGGTGACAGTCGACGTGGAGATGTGCCGCCAGGCGTTAACGCTAATGTGTCCACGTGAAACGGCCCTACAGCTGCGAAACACCATTAGAAATCGCATAAACTCTCATACACCATTACACAATAAGCACTCCTTCCATGAAAACCTGTTTCGCTTTCGTGGGACCGACTTCTACTACAAAGGGATGAGCCATGTTTTTTTTTTTATGTGTGCTGTGTAGACGAATCATTTACAATTATACTTTATGCTCACAAACTAAAATAAAGAAGGAAGTGCCCGAATGGAGCTTTGCACAGTAGCAAATGAAAAAAAAAAAACCTTTCTATGCAGTCATAATGCTCGAGACTTCATGTTCGTGGCTCATGACTTTTTTGAGTCCTCATGTTTGCTTGAAATAAAACATAAGCAATGAAGAAGAAAAAGAAATTGTTGCGTCTGTGCTCAGCAAATGCAAAAGCATGACATACGTTTCACTTTCTCATATCATGCAATATGAAGCTTCAGACAACACATGGTATGCTTAATAAACATACCACTACCTGTTTTCTTCCACAGAAATGTTTCCCAAAAGAAGAAGACTGGCTAGCATCACGAAAAGCGCTGTATGTATCCATTTCATCCAACTTGTAGCCATTATCATCATCATGATGGCTGTTATGACGAAAGCCTCACTGCTTTTTTTGCTCTTATAGGTGGTTTATTGCGAGATATCTTCTGTCGAAACAATGACACTGATCTGCACCAAGGTTCCTCACAACCCAGGAAGGTATGTTTACTCTAGGCACCTGAAACCTCTCATTGCGTATCAAGTGTATATCAGCCGGTCTAGTCATTGCATTGTACCATAGATTGTACGCATGCCTGCAGCCATGCTAGGTTCGTATCCCCTCCCCCTTTCCCAAAGATTAATGAAGGGGATGGGGGTGACTTAACAATAAAAATAGGTATTTTTCTCAATTAGCCAAAGCCGTCCACAAGCGCCCGTGCAAATACTACTATTAGTACAACAACTTTTTCGTGTAACAAGGTGAATGCGAGAAGGAACACTCAACAAACAGGATCATTGCAAAACACACTTAAATACGCAGAGCAACTTCAACGAGTTGATTCATTCTGAATAATCGAATGACCTGCCGATTGCTTGGATGGTACCCGAATTAGTTATTGAATTTCTGAAGGGGAAAAAAAGTATTTCTGGTTCAGAAAATAAAAGATGCATGGGCCAGTTTCATATTTTCTGGAATAAGACAGTGGCTTTCATGATACAGTGAAAAATGAATTATTCTAGACTTATTCTACAAACACGAGCAGGGGAGATCATCAGAAAAAAAGTCTGTAATCAATCATGCACTATCGGCATACTCTATAGATAACCCTAAATATGTTAGTGACTAACTGATCCAGATTTAGTAAAGCAGTTCTCTTCTGCCAGGAATCGTAGTAGGCACAGACCTATTTCATGTTCTTAAAGAAGGGTAGGTGCCGTTAATGTTAAAATGCATGGGTAAAATCCCACGGTCTGTGTGAAATGCTTTCTTATGTAAGGAAAAACTACAGACCTATTCCATGTTTGCAAACATGAGTAGGCTCTGTCCGCATTCTGATGCGGTTGTAGTCACGCGTGGGCTCCGCCCAGCCCGAAGCTCTCCACTGCTCCATATGATCACTTGATGACTGGCACAGCAGCTGCAAAGCTGCCTCCGAGTACAGCGCGTCGGGGGAGCCTCCAACGCGGGAGGTTCTTTTGACGGGCTGTGCTCCGAGCTGTAGCCATGGACCTTCCCAAGGTGTACTCCATTTCCAAAGTTTGTCAGCAAGACGTTAGCATAGCGAGAGGTCCAGCTTTGTGACGGATGTGCTAATTCGCTTTTCGAGTATGAGCACAGTGTTGCAGCCGGTTAAGGATGCTTCACATGACAGAAAAAGTAGCAATTTGGAGACTGTGAATTCATTCCAGCAAAACAAAAGGACAGTTCGCTATTAAAAAATGCATGAACGAAAACTCTAGCACGCACTTTTGCTGTATCCTCCGATTTTATATAAAGTCTAATATCAGTGACACCTATGATCTACTATTCAGTGTTAAGTTTTTGTACAGTAAAGGTACCACATATTTAGGGTAGGAAACTATGTTATATGATATGGTAATTGTGCTCTCACGAATACATTTTTTTATTACACCACATTACTTTGTATTCATTTGTTGTTTCTCTTTTTATTGAAGCTGACATATATTATTTGCTTTCTATCCCCAATTTGTTCGTGCACACACACAGAATTCAAACCTCCTTTTAGATTATGGGTATAGACCTATCCAAAGTTATTTATTTTTATGAACTCGTCATGAAAAACTGAGTACAAACTCCAGCAGTGTCAGGAGACTCAGAAATGATCTTGTCCACAGTTACGATATTTGTCAGATACATTTAAATGATGAAATTTTTTCTGCCTTTTATTGCACTATGTGCACCGAATGCACGGACCAATACAGTCAGGATTTCATTCGTGCTCCTACAGATAGCAAAAATCCTTAAACACGTGGCAAATTTGTTGCAAGACCCAGGTATCCATGGCAAAGAAGCAGCAAACTCGATGCATACACATTTTGAAAGAAGTTTTCAGGCCATGTGCTATTGGGACATGTTTATTCAAAGCCACAAAACATGCAAACGGTATCACTTTGCAGTGCCTGCTAGTGCTGTCCATGCAACAGCAAATCTCATGGGAGAAACTCTCATTACAACTGCTGCACTGACGTAGAGTTACTCAAGTTTCAGTAATTCATAATGGCACCTTTAGAAGGCACAGAGGACTGTAATAAGGTTGGTGTTCTTTTCACTGTGCAGATCCCGCATGAAGGCACAAAAGAGAGAACCTGGCTGTTCCCAAGCCAAAAAGAAAAGAAAGCAGGACATCACCATGCCCACTTGTACATAGCATCAAATCACTCACTTATTTAAACACCTCGTGTATAGTTGGCTCATTTGCAGCTCTTTTCTAGCATCATTTTCATCTTGCTACATTAAAGTGGATGCTACACATTCTTACAACAGACACAGTGTTGTCCTCGTGTTTTTGCAAAGCCTCATAACATACTAAACCAAGCAAATGATTTTATTGTGCTAATTTTACAGGTTACAATTGGACCTGCATATGCAGTTACCATAATTTGGCTAGTGCTCCGTAGAACGAATTTAAAATGTGCAATCGGTCTCTGCTGCAGTTATCAACAAATTGCACCAGGGTGCTCAGGTGCCAAAATGATTGACAAGGCTAGCATGATTCGATGAGGATGCCATAAAAGACCTCATATCATTTTCACTTGCTTTGTTCAAACTTTGAATACTTGTGAACTGCTGTAATGCCAAAAGTGTGCAGTAGCTTTTTCTCACAGAGAGCACTCGCATATGCAATGCATGCACTGCATCACGAAATATAAGCATCTTATTTTCTTTGCTAACAGCAAGAACAGCATTCCTTGTGGATGATTCCACCAAATAGCCTCATTCTAAAGCTGCCATTTTCCTTTATATTTAACAGAAAGTTAAATAAAAGTGAGGAAATATCACGGCTCCTTCTAGTGCCAATTTAAAAGAAATGGCAGCTTTTTAGAATAATTGATACGCCAAAAAATGCTCTCCTTGTCATGCAGTAAGAAATCTGAGCACGTGGTCTCCTGTACTATGCGTCTTAACGGAATGTTGCCGACTAGGTCAGTCACACACACATCTTGCTTTTGAAGAGTTTGGCTCAACACAATGAGTGTAAAAGTGATCTTGCGGAAATATTACGGTAACCGTAAACAGTCAGCATGACTAAAAAAACAACGAGTTGCTGAAATCTTTCTGTCATTCTGCATCCACCATGTTGCAAACACCGGATGCATGTGACAAGCTTTACTGCACAATATGCATGCTTACCCTGCATTGTCACATCTATCCAGTCTCAGTCAGCAAACAAGCCAAGCCAAGTCTGAAGCCACCTTCTAAAAAACTGACACTTAAAAATATGCTGAAAGAACTTAAGGCTATCGGCACTCACGCCCACTCCATATAGAAATAACACTAATATTTCAATGTGAACAACAAAACAAGGCAAACAACAAACGGAGTCACTATTTACAAGGCATGCCTATTTACAATATGGTAATAATGCCCGTCCAAACATGGATAACGACAGCAGTTGCCACTCTTCGATCGACTAGCACCTACGTAATATTTTCAAGCAGGATGTATCACATTACACCAGTCAAAGGACACAGTAAAGGCAACCTATTTATGGCACACGCCAATAAAAGCCTATCTGACTGCACAGATTGCCTTCCAAGCACTTGAAAAAATATATTGTTTTCTAAGTATGCACACCTTGGATATGTGAACTTTGATGATGAGGCAATGAATGTAAAAAAATGAGTGCTCATGAAAAAACTGCAGAATAATTCGTACCAAGAGAATATTGCAAGATCTTATTATGCATGCTATCAAAACTGTTGATAAATATGATCTCACCTAATGCACATTCCCTAAGTGACTTACTAACTTGAGGCAAGCACAAAAGTGTGCATTCTTAATGCAACACAGTTCCACAGCAAATAGTCCTGTCACACAGGCACTCGGAAGCTCCTTCAGCAACTATTAGAGAAGCCAGTTGGTTGTACATAGTATGAACTTTTTGCATCAATGGAACCAAATAGATCAAGAAACAAGACAACACAAGCACTGTGTCGTCCCGTTTCATGTTTTATTCATTGATTTGCTGTCTAGCATGAAAAAAGAGAAACTGTTCGACACTAAGCTCTTGTAAGCCTGTTGCCGCTGCCTTCTGTTGAATGCGGCACAGCCTCTACTCCGTCACTGCAATGGTCCTTTATGCAGTGTGGCAATTTAGAAGATTAAAAGATTTCTCTAGCGCCCATGTATAAGTGGTATATAGGTTATTCTTCAGTTGATAGAAGAAAACAAGAAATAAGTTTATCAACTAAAGACCTTCATCATGCGCATAACTAGACACAAACAAATGTTTTCATGCTGAATGAAAAGCCAACACCAACACAGCACAGGTGAAATGCGATCTGCTGCTTTGAATAGGTATAAGGCGAACAGGTCAATGACACCTGTGTTCTAGAATATGTTTAAACCTCGAGCGTGTTGATTTACTGAGACAACTCTGCAACAAGCCTTACCAGTACACACAACTCTATAGCAAGAGCACACAGGCAGGCAGGCACAATGGTTTACAAAAATGCCCGAATGGAAGTTCTTTCCGTACAAACATGAGCGGAACATACAGAAGCCCAACATTAAGAACTATACAAACTACAAGATATCAGAACAACAATTTAGAATAAATCTCAAACAACACAATCAAGTGTAGACTAAAGAAGCAGGCCATTATCAATGTAAGCGTAACTGTGAATGAAAACACCGAGATCAGCTCAACATGAAATCGAGCCAAGTTTTGCAAGAAACATGCAATGAGATTATTCCAGAGCCATGTGCCATCTGCAGAAATGGAATACTGAGGAAAATAAAAAAAAATGGGGGGGGGGGGGGGGGGCATCTATTTTAGAAGGTAGCAACAGAATCTTGTTCATCAGTTTTTGAACCAATTACAGTTTTCAGAGACTGCAAGCACAATCCTAGCCTGTGTATTTATCAAAATAGTGGCTTGTTCCGAACTACATTATGGCTGATAGAGGCACTACCGCCATGACCACTTCCACAATCTCGCATTGAAATTGCTCTTAAATCCCCGACAGCTCGGCAGGTAAAAAACAGTGGTATGTATGTACAGTGGACACCTGAATGACTTAATCTATCAATTAAATTTTATCTTCTCAAAACATCCAGGCTGGTGCCCCTTAGACTTCTGCGAGACCAAACTTTCATAACTGCAATTTTAGAACTTAGCTTTCGCAACAGAGTTCAAACTTTGCTTGCTATTGTGTGTTGTCCAACCCCAAAAGTAACTGCTGTGATGTTTCCAATGGCAGCAGCTTTTGATCCCATGTTCAAGACACATGCCATTGTCTGTCAAAATGAGCTACATATTTCAGATTAGGAAAATTAACGTTAAATTAACACCACATGAAATGAAGACTAGCACGTGGCCACAGAGCAGGAGCACAGGAGAAGGTGCTTGTTTTGAGGTCATGTTTGTCCTGTTGCCCGTGAATTTCACTGACACTTTGCTTATCACAAATTGCCAAAGTGTCTAATAGTCTATCCTTGTACTTCAGACCTGGCCCCAAAATATCATAGCATGAAGACTGTTGCTTACTATATAACTATCACAGCATTTATCTAATTCTAATGCTTGTGTCTTTTTTTTTCTTAATTGGAGAAAATTCATTGAAAGGTTGCTTCGCGGCTGTGATCCAATAGAAAACCAAAACTGCATTCACAAAAAACCTATTCGTAGTGGCTAGTGTGGCCATCCTCAATTGTCACTAAGCAGTGACTATCACTGCTCAGATCACACAGAAGGTTGCTTACTTGCTGCGCTAGCAACAACAGCTTGCATCCCATCTTCAGTGCGGAAAATTCAACACGCTGCCTAAAGGACCTGTGGACTGGTCAGTCTGGAAGAGACTACCACGCTGTCTGCGACTGCTGAGGAGTTATTTAATAAAGGCAGGACATCAAACATGTTCTCGACTAAAATAAAGACAACATACTGTATATGCTCATGTAATGGTCACACACATGTGGTGCAACAGCCGCACCTTGTACTTTGTAAAAAAAAATAGCCCCCCCCCACCCCCTCTCAAATATATTTAAAATTTAGCCGTGTATTGGCCACACCCTTAGTTGACGAGAAGGTTAGCGGTGTTATTCATGGTGTGTGAATTGCAAAGGTTTTCTTTTTTTTTTCTCCGGTGGCACAGTAAGGCAGCTGTACCCTGAGTTTTTGGCACTTGCAGGTTGCAAAAGCCTTTAGTAGCCTCTGAAATTATGCGGCTTCCTCCGAGGCCCTGTAGTTCACACACACAAAAAAAAGAAACACTGACTGGATGGCTGAAGGGGGCATCTCTTGTGGACATGTGCTACAGGATTTTCAAAACGTGGCGTGTGGTGTCTTTCAATATGGTGAAGAAAAGCTTGAAGGTCATGAGAACCTTGAATAAATTCAGTGGAATAAAAAACGACCTCCCTTATTCAGGGGAAGAGGAGAATTTGAGAATGCGATGTGCAGGGGAGGAGGATGAGGGCTAGGAATGACATCCTTGCACCCACACGAAAATGATGAAGAGTTGTTCTTTGCTTCTTCCAGTACAGGCAAATACTGAAGGCAAGTTGACCTAAAAACAAACACGAAAAAAGAATTCTGACATTTTACTTTGTGCAATGGCTGCACTTACAACTTTCACCCCAAATCTTGCAAACAACAAAACCTTGCATCCATTACACACACGAGCATATACGGCGTTTCTTTTTCCGTGGCGACAAAGTACAGCCAAGGTGATGTGGTGACAAACACCTGATCAGTGAAGTTGCATTCTGCAAAAATAAAGACAGCTGATTTTTCCCTTTCCTGTTTGCTATAGCTGGTGATGTCAAAATCCATGCACATTTAAATTCTACGTAGTTTAAACTGTGCGATTTAGCCTTATATCAATTTTTTTGTTACTTAGCACCAGCAAAATGAGAATGCACGATGGATTCCAAGAGGTGTTTGAAACCTGTCAAACTATGCCAAACAAGTCAACAGAATGTCTTTGTTGTTTTTTTCTTGATATGAGGCGATGAATAATTTGACTGGTTTTATCAGTCTCATCAAGGTTTAATTGATGTCAACTAGTCAGCGAAATGCCAATATATCGGCTCAGTAAATTCTATGACTATTTCGTTGTATCGGCGTTGCAAAACTCCCACGTCACACTTGAGCAATTAACGTTTCCTACCACAAAGCTCTTTCACCACTTGCTACTCTAGTCCTCAAAGATGTCAAATATAGAGGGGGAAGAGGGGAAGCTCTCAGATAATCTCCTACCTTTACAGTATAAGAACTGACATGATGACACTCTTTTGTACAGATCTACAAAACATGGGAAACATAATTCAGTCTAGGATAACATTTCTCAAAACAACACAACAGTGTGCTGTAGACAACCAAGGCTGTGTTGCAAAGCAGGTGGTACAGTTAGCGTAATAAAATTGTGGAGGAAAGAAAGGCAAGGAGAGGCCCCCCCGGAGTCTGTGACGAGGTAGTGAGTTCGCTTTTTTCCAAGGAGGTACTGTGGCTTCTAGGACAAACCTACAGGTTTCCATAACAATTTGGCCGGAGAAGCTTTCCCTCCAAGATGATCTTGAAAAATGAGAAAACAGCTTTTGCCTTCAGCTTTTCTCATGGCACACTCCATTCGCAAAACGAGCCATGTTTTCAGTAAGGTGCGCGCGTGTGTGTGTCAGTTTACAAATTGTACCTAGTGCCGGTGTACTCAAAGTGCGATCACCATGGGCACACTCTCATGCAATGATGACACTGACATCCACAGCCTTATTCAACAAATTATGAACAAATGCAATGGTGTACCTGCTTAAATTAACTCAATGAAATCTATACAGAAGCTCTGCAGGTATCGTTCTGACAAGTGTCATCAGTGCTTGGTGTCGGTGTCTCGTCACAATGAAAGTTTAAGACTTGCGCCATCAGTTGGGGCAGAGTTTGTTGGAGAAACAAGGAAAGTCCGGCCTTCTGTGATGGCTGCACTTCCTGTTGTTTGTAACATGACATTGGGTCCTCTCTTGTTTCGCCTCTTTCCTCCATGTAATCAACCAACAAATGTGCACACTGCAACAAAGTGCCAATGACGACTCTCAATAAAAGTGGTCAAGCTTTAACATCTACCCCTCCAGGTACTGCTTTCCATCAACATTGTGATCAGGGTTCCCAGCAGCTTTTCTGCAGGAAAATAAAATAATCCTCGCTTCAAGAAAATCCCCTGTGCTTTTAAAGCAAACACTGGGAAAGACAGATGGTGTTCCAAAGGGCAGCTTTCAAAATGCTGGCTACCAAAAACAACCTCATGCACAGTCTGTCTACAATCCCACCAGCATCAGCTGATTATCCCATTCCGTGATAGTCCATTGGTGAGTTGAGGTGTGATGCTGACAAAAGGGGGTCCCCGCCACCCATGGGGTCATCGTCCATGATGGGATCGTCGTAGTGGCCGAGATTGTGGCCCGGACTCGGTGCCGAACTCAGACCCGAACTCGGGCTTGGGCTAGGTGCCTCGTGCTTGATGTCATCATGCCCAAAATTTCCGGGCTTCAGGTCCTCTTGGCCGTTTTTGAAGTCGTCGTTGAAGTCGTCGTTGAAGGATAGTGCTCCAGGCCCCTCGTTAATAAGCGCATTCAGCTGTGACTGCGATGTGGGGTGCCATGTGTGGCTGGTCAGTTGGATGCCATGCATCTGCATCGTCTGCTCCAGTTCCTGCACACAAACGGTGAACACTCTAATAAAGGCCCAGTGACAAGGAAAGTCATTTAGAAGAAAGCTTTTGCTGAATAATTGAAACAATTATTTTGAACACAAGCAAGGAAACATGGACAAAGAAAACACAGTTCCATTGATGAGCGAAGCTCCCTTAGAAATGATGCAAGCAGTTATGTGCCTGATCTGGCTGGTGGCTTTCATAGAGGCGGTGGGGTAGGGAGAGCGTCTATTCACCTCAGTGCCAGGAACAATTGAGAAAGTGAGTGCACGGCATGCGCGAGCCATTTGCCGCTGTGCACCTGTTGTTTTGCTTTGGTGCACTTGCCCGGCAAAGGGAGCTTCGTTGGTGCAGTAAGAGCCTAAGGAGCTTCGCTCCAGAAAATATATTCTTTAAATGATGTTTCAACCCTCACACGAGAGCCCTGTTCACAATGAAGCATGAGCAGCAATATTGTTTATTTATAAAGTCGTCTAATCACGTTTGAGGCAACATGCATACACTGGCGGATGATCACCACAGCTTTTGTTTAGCACGTGTGCAGTGGTTTGAATAAATCGGATGAAGCCATACAGAGAATTCCTGTTCCGGGGCGAAAACAGAAGTACCATAACAGCCTGCGTACAGGCCAAAGTTTTTTCCAAAATTTTAGGGTATTAAATTTCGGCCCTGTACTAGATTCCGGTCCCAAACATTTTCGGCCGAAATTCAGTTTTGGCTTCGGCATAGCGTGGTGCTATCATCATCATCAGGTGTTTTCGCACTTCTGCGCTAGGTGCTACGTAGTGTTAGCGGCGGCAGCAGGCGTTCGTCTTACAGACCCACGCGTGCAACAATGATCAGTGGTCATTGCTTCAACTTGGCGCCCATAATGATGGCCACGATTTTGCTTCGGTATTATAATGCCTTGTCAGCACCGCGTAGGCAGTACTTTGACAACTTTTGAAAGGAAAGTTATCGCTGCTGCCGAAACCATTGGGAACTGTGCCGAAGAGCGGCAGCTTGGAGTCCACGAGCAGAGTATTCGCAGTTGGCGGAAGCAAAAGAACGCCTTCTTTGGCTGCAGCGACCTGCAAAAAAAAGTTTTCACGGATCAAAAAATAGAGCGTTTCCTGACGGAACGAGAACTTGCAGACTTTGTGCGGGAGGAGCGAGCTGCACATCTCGCTGTTAACATCAAGCTGCAACAAGCGAAGGCAAGGGAGACCGCCTCAGACAAAGGCATTCAGCTTGAGAATTTCAAAGCGAGAAAGCATTGGGTGCCTCTCTTAATGCACCCCACTGGGTTCTACCAACGTTGGCCTACGTCGAGCTCGCAGAAGCTACCAAAGAGCTACAAAGAGGACCTTGTGAAGTTTTAAAAGTATGTCAATGCGTTGCAAAAGGCTGTCCCCTTTCAGCTGGGCCATATCGTCAACGGGGATCAAACATCAGTCTACTGGTAAACGCCCTCGGCGCTGACTGTGCACCAGAAAGTTGGATATGATAGATATGTAGAGTTCAACGTCCCAAAACCACCATATGATTATTAGCGACAGCGTAGTGGAGGGCTCCGAAAATTTCGACCTACTGGGGTTCTTCAACATGCATGGAAATCTGAGCACACGAGCCTACAGCATTTCCGAAAATGCAGCCATTGCAGCTGGGATTCGATCCCGCGACCTGCCGGTCAGCATCTGAGTACCTTAGCCACTAGACCACCGTGACAGGGCAGTGCACCAGAAAGGCTCCAAGCAAGTTATCGTGTGATCGACTGCGAACGAAAAACGTGGGTGATTGTAAGGTTGTCCTGCACTGCAGATGGCTGCGAGCTACCACCCTACGTGGTGTTCAAATGAAAGATGCCAGCGAAGGAGGAGAAGTTCCCAGAAAAAGGAGAAGTTCCCAGAAAATCGCTAGTGGGACTGCATAGCCTGCGTGTGGTGTCGACAACCCGTAGCACTGCTGGGGCCCCCTTTGTGCTCCACAGGTTTCGGTGTCGCCTGACCAACTCCGTAAAGAGACTGCTGTGCTGCGAGACTCCCGCACTGAGCTTGTTGTCATCCCAAAAAGGATAACATCACAGCTGCAGCCACTTCATGTGTGCCTTAATAAGGCATTTAAGGACCATGTCAAGCACCTGTACACAGAGTGGATGAATTGCGGAGAACCAGAAGTGACCCCTGCCAATGGCTGAAACAGGCCTTGCCAGTGACGCTATGCTCATTGGATAGTCGAGGCTTAGGCCTGCATTTCCGAGGCGCTCGTTTGCCGCACTTTCAGAAGGTGCTCCACCTCAAATGAACTTGATGGCACTCAGGATGATGTGCTGCGGGAGAACATTTCTGACCAAGGAGCTTCGGAAGAGAATGCGTCTGACAACGATGATGAATAAAGTGAGTCAATAAATGCATTTTTCCATTTTACTCTGCTATATTCGGGTGAAAACATGTTTTCTCACTTTTTTTATCCCCAAATTACACCTTGGAATACATGCGGGTCCGAGCTATTTACGGGCTTTTACGGTATATTCTCAGTTGATCACATGGTCAGTGGACCAGTTGAGAATTTGGTGGGATTCTGTCAAACTCACGATATCATAAGCAAGAAAACATTATAGGTAATTCAAAAGACCACATCAGCTAAACTTATTGCACTGCATGCAGCTAGGAAGTAACATAAAAAAGAGCCACACAGTGCTCCTGCTCACTTTGATAATGTATCATGATTAGCTTTGTAGAAAGTCGAGTACTAGTTGCTTTCGTGACAGATATGAAATGATCAGAGACACTACAGAGATATTTTATAGTCGAATCAAAATTATGCATTTCCACAATTAGAAAAAGACCCAAGCATTTCCTCCTTCCTCTGACATCAGCAGACATGTGCACAGGCGAATGCACAGGCAAAGATCATGGGCTTCTTCAAATGAACACGCATTCATTCTAGAATACTTTGTGTTTTTCATGCTTGTTTGAGAAAAACATGTTAACTGTGTACCTAGCAGAGGAACCAGCCCCTTTCATTACATTTATGGTTGTTAGCAAGCATTTTTAATTTTTTCACAATATAGTGACTTTTAAAAAATTTAGGGGTGTGCAAACATTTCCATTTTCTAATATTTTACAAACAGTGTTTGCTATTCAGTTCAATTTGAAGAGGAACATTACTATTCAAGTTATTCTAATTTCTAGAAGACAGATATACCGTCAATATCCGTTCTTTCCGACTCTCTCAGGACCGAAAAAAAAAAACGTCTGAAAAAACGAATTCATCCATTTCTGTTTTGCTCAAGCAGTTAAATAGCAACAAGTACGTCTGAAATAGCTTCAATGCCTCTCCAATTCACTTACCGTAATTACTCGAATCTAACGCACACCTTCTTTCCGGTTAAGCAAGTTCATAAATCGCATGCGCGTTAGAATCGAGTACGAAAAAAAAAAATGAATACGGTCATTCTATTGCCATCGGCATTTCCAAAATGGCCTGGGGAGGGGGGGGCCCCTACGTGCGTCGACATGGAGCGTCGACCATTTCTGCCTATGTGTTTCCCATGTGCGGCACTTCGTACGTGTGCTGAGGAGTTCGTCATCTGGTAGTGCATTAGCATCAACGGCATGGAAGGGCCGACTCCAAAAACTCGACGAGTGCACCACGTTGCCGCTTTTAAAAGAAAAGTCATCGCGTGCGCCGAAACGGACGGAAATCGGGCTGCATCGTGGTCATTCGGAGTTACCGAAATGTGCGTGTGGGACTGGCGGAAACAAAAGCAGAATATTGTCGACAGCAAAGATTCACGTAAAGGCTTCAGTGGACCACAGCAGGGTCGGTTTCCACAAATTGAAGAGCTGCTCGGCGAGTATGAGATTGAGCAGTGAGCGGCATAGCGGCCCTTGACGACAGAGCTGCTCCAAGTGCAGGCTATGCAGTTAGCCTTAGAAAAAGGGCTAATGCCGAGCCAGTTTAAAGCGAGAAGGTGCTGGCTAACTAACTTTATGAAGAGGAAAGGCTTTTCCCTTGGAAGGCGAACGGGCATATGCCAAAAGTTGCCGGAGGAGTAGGAAGAAAAGCTTCACAGTTTTCAGAGGTTCGTCCTAAACTTGCGGCACAACAACGGCTACCTGCTTGGGCAAATCGAGAATGCGGATCAAACGCCTCTTTACTTCGACATGCTTGGCACCACAACTAGCGAGAAGAAGGGAGCGAAGCAATTTCGCGTGCTGACATCAGGCCACGGTAAAACTAGAGTGATGGCAATGCTCTGTTGCACGTCAGATAGGCACAACCTTCCCCGTAGCTCATATTTAAACGGATGACGCTCCCGAAAGGAGTCGTTTTCCCCGAGTGGTGTGATTGTGCGGGCCAACGAGAAAAATGGGTGCGCGTTGCAATCGATGTCTTACTATGTTTTTTTTTCGTAGTGGTAACCGGGTGCACGTTACAATCGAGGGTGCGGTAGAATCAAGTAGTGCACGCCCAGGCTCTCGTGAATACTTTCAGCACCTGCTGCAAACCCCATTTAACTACGCAAATTTGAGTCTTGGGATGAGCGCCCAGTGTGTTTGGAAAGAAACAATGACATGCAGCACAAAGCTTGAGGTGGAAGTGTAAACGACTCGTGCAGCTTTTGCTGATGAATGAAAGTGCACGTAAATGATCACCAAATGTCCACCCATAAGCAGCATTTGCTGCTGCATGAAGCCGATTCTTCCTAGTTGCGTGCTCTAGATTGTAAATTAAGCTGACCCCTGAGCTCTTGCTGTACCTATGTACATATTTGTCTAAAACTGTTCGTGATGCCCACTCTGGTCCTAATCCCACATGAGTATGGCAATGGCAAGCTGCTTACATTCGTGAAGGCAGCGCACCTGTGCAGCTCGCTTAGCAGTATTGCACGAAGAGGCAGCATGAACGGTGGTGCAATGCACTTGTGACGTACGCATACCAGTAGCAGCGCTAGGCCACATGAACTACTAAGTAGTTAGCTGAAGATTCTCAGCAGAAGGGTTGTGGGCGATGAAGCTGTATGGCATGTTTGCCGCCTACCACTACCACGCCTCTGTGAATTTCCGGTGGTTAGCCATAAAGACATCGTCACACTGCACAGTTGCCGTGGCCCTTTCATATTTTTTACCTAATTCAACGCATCACACTCTGGCATTGTGGCAAAGCTGCCTTTTGAGCTCTGCTATGGCTCTAAATGAATCGACTCGCAAATATGCTGGTTAGAAACTACGCGACACAGGCTGGGGCTATAGCTGTTTCAAACCAGAAAGTTTGAAAAAATAGAAGATTTTCAGCATATGAAATTTCAGATGCTTTTATAGACTGATGTCTACGGGGCAAATTAAGCATTATGGATTCCCAGGGTGCACACCCTTGTTTGTAACAGAAGTTGTGTTTCACAGAAGTTGAAGGAGCAGGCCAGGCTGAGGAATTTGTTTTTTCCACCTAAAGTGTCGTTGGCACCACATTCCTTGCCCCAAATCATGTAAATGAATATAGTTGAGCCTCTGCATTGCCTCATTCTTGATAAAACAACTAGAGAACACCATCCTTTCAGGTCTTCACCAACCTAGCCAAAATGAACACTTTCATGTTCCTAAGTCATAGGAATATCGATAGAAATCTACTGCAACTCATTTTTTTGTAATTTTGCTTAGAAGCATTCGAGAAATGCAGAAAAATTACTAAAATCAATTTGCACTAAAACTTCAAAATTCAAGTTCGCTTAGCACACAAAATTTTGTTAGTCTCACAAGTCTATTGATTATCATAACCTTATGGTTCCCACATAGGCACGCATCAATTTGGACTACAACTGCTTGGACTTGCATTTATTTATGAGTAAATATCCACTGCATAGCATTGCTAAGGTACCAATAACTTATCTTGCAATGTTTCAATAGTCTGAACAGAAAAAGACCAGCTACAGTGCACAGATTGATAATAAAAATGTGGCCAGTGTAATTAAGAGCTCTTGTTTGCGCATTTATCATTTTCCCATGATGCTTGAAAACTGAACTATTAATTGGCCAAGTACAAAAAAATATGTTTAGACGTGGCACCCACCTGTATCCTGAGGAGCAGCTGCCTGTTCTGCTGTTCGAGCGTGCGCTGCTTCTCCTCGACCTGAGGGATGCGGTCATTCTCTTTCTTCAGGGTGCGCACGTAGTCCACCGTCGCCTTCAGGATGGTGCCCTTGTTTTGGCGGATGTCGCGCACGAGCTCGTAGTGCCTGAACAAAAAGTTGTCCGTAGCGCAGTCTTAAACATATCAAAAATACTCTTAATACTGTAATTGCACAAGCTTTATGAAAACCAACAAGCACTGAAGCCAAGGAAGGTATTGGCCGCAAGATCCAGCCTGGCGGCAACTGGCCGAATCGGTGAAGTGTGAATTGCTCCTTGCATCGTCTGCTAGACACGTCGTGTTTCTATGAGCGCGTAGGTCATGCACGTTCTCAAAGTGTGGTTTGTCTGGTCATGTCAGTGCGAGTGTAACTGTTTTTACGTATGCTTGAAACAATGTACGAAAGCATTTGGTCTTTCTCGGCTGCTAATGCTTATAAATAAGATCAGCGAGTGCAACTTTTCAGACTGCTGTTTATTGTCGTCTTACCCTCCATTCACTAGAATAATTTCAGAGTGTGTGCTGCTTTCTGTTTCTAGCACATCGCAAAATGCTCTAGGCATCCTGCCAAACATAAGTACTAATAAACGCTGTGTGAATGCAGCGTTTTATGGCGACTCGGTTGTAAAAAAAAAGGCTCTAGGTCACGCACTTGCACGCTGTTGGTATGTGTACAACTATGGCACTGCAGTTTATTGATAATACGAGGAGCCTTAGTTGTGTTTACCTAGCCGTGCTACTATTACAGCAATATTTCTATCACATAAACTGTGAGACTTCGGTAATTACACTGTACTTAAAACAGAGTTACCATGCGCTACCGTGTGCTTAGATTTAGGAATGCTTTAAAGAGCCCAGGCATTGAAAATTTATTCTGACGGCATGCCCTATATATAATGTCATATATTTCACTGAAAATGCACGTAATGCATCGATGAAAGCTTTTTGCTGAACTTTTATATAAGATTTTTACTGGTGCAAAAACATGTGCATACACGTGGTAAACACAGTGTAGCTCAAAGCATAGTCAGCCACTAAGTTTTCCTGATTAGATTTATCGAACGTCCCCCATTTCATGGTGAACAGATTGAGAAAAAAAATTATATGTGCATAAGGTGAAAACAATGGTACTGAACGAATCGCACAGATATGCGGGCTTTCTACGATCTTCCTTTCTCTCTTTTTTGTAGTATGTAGATGACAAAGATGTAAATAAATAGTTCAGTCACGCTACAGCAGTGCATAGCAGGCGAACACAAGCTAACCACATACAAACGCTACAGCAAAGGCATGATTTAATGTGAAAGCGCGAAGAGAGGTAACCAAAGGCGAGCATCCCTATGAAAGGCAGAATTTGCTTAACTCGCACATAATGTTAACGTTGCATAGGAGGCGTGTACCGATTCAGTAAAGAAGAGTGTAGATATTAACAGTAAACTGTAGTCAATGCATTTCATCTGCCGATAATCGGCTCAGACCGCACGCAACAAAGCGCCACTGCGTGCAATTGTCTACGAGCCGCCGACCGCCTATCCACACTTTCCCGGGGCAGTGCTGCCACCTATAGCCCGATCTCACGGCGAATAGAGTGTGAAATTTTTGGTGTCTTTAACTGTGCTGTAGCAATTATGGCGTAAATAAGATAGAAGTAAAGCGGACGAAAAGACAGCTTGAAGCCCACAGGGACCGAATCTGCAACTTTCGGATGCTCTTCCAACGGAGCTACACCGGTGGTCATCCCCTGGTTCACTTCATTTGGTATTTGTGTGCATGTGTGTATTCAGAATAGTAAGAGCCTAAGAAAAAAACATAGCTCAACACTGCAGGTGTCTTTTTGCTGCTCCTTGTCAGCAGGAAAAAAGAAAGACAGCAAACTTGTAAACACACATTTCTAAAATTAGTTTTTCTGATGTATGTGTGCAGATACTTCTGTTTGCAAAAACGCCTGTTTTACAAAGAGACAGTGAAAGGTAGTGAGGTTAATCAGAAGAAAATTTGCAATTCGCAACATTGCACTGGGGAACGAGATAGTAAGGGATAGAAGGGAAAAAAGAAATGAATAAATAATGATGATGGTAGGGGTGGGAGTCCAGCAGCATGATGAGGGTGCATGGAGTGAGGAGGGTGTTTGTTTAGGTAACGGGAAAGCCTTTGCCCCCTTTGCTTCGACTGCCTGTCGTGCACGCCCTGCCATGAACAGGCACCTGCTCCTGCTGCGTTGCAATATAAAACAGCTGCGTTGTAATAGAGTGTAGATTATATGCGTGCGAATTAGATTATAAGCACTAGTCACAATGCTTTGGGATGCTACCGAGATTTCGCCTTTTACCACAAAAAGGAGGACTTACAAGCCTTGGATGGCTTTTTTTCAGAATAGTTGTGGCAGCTCTTCTCCCGACGGCTAACAGAAACTTCATTTCATGCATGCTGCCCTCTGTTTAACTCACGAGTGCGATCGACCTCTCTGGCACTCAATCTCGGTGTTTCTGGGACAAGTGACTAGCGACAGCATGTCATGGGTTGCAGCCTTCACACTAGAGCTAATGAAGGCTAGCTGCCTTGTCGGTAGTCACCACGGACTATCAGAGTTGCAGTTTGGTGCCAACTCAACGGAACACTTTGCACTTGTCGCATTTAAAAGAGCTGACTCACACATTCAATATAAACAAGGACGTGCGTGTGCAACACTCATGTGGTGGTTTGTGGACGCCAAGTGCTTAGCTAGAATTTTTTTAAGAAGTGAGGCGGGGTTCATCTATGCTTGATGCATGTTCGTGTATATGTTTGTATACAAGGGTGTATTTATACTCAAGCAAAGTTCAAAAATTACAGAGGGTTAACACCCCCTCCCCCCTTCAAAAACCCGGCTTTGCCCCTTGTGGTTGCCGCCATTTTTAAATTTTTTTATTTCCAAATATTGTTGGCCATTAAGGCCGTAACAGAAAAACAAGTGCAATGTATTGTATGGAAGACAGAATTTTTTTAAATACACAAAGAAAAAATATTTAAATGCTGTTAATAAAAACGTATATACATATATTGTGATGGTGGTATAGTATGCAATATGAAGTAACTACACGATGTATTTTCAAACAACATAGCAATATATGTACAATACTATAGCAACACTTAATGTTCACAACATATTTTTAATGCACTTTTCAAAGCTTTCTATGTTCTTCGAATGAAGTGCCAGTACTGGCAACTGATTCCACTCTTTTATCATTCCTGGAAAAAAGGAATACGCATACACATCAAGATTGCATTCAGGAACCGAATACACAAATTGATTGCATGATCTGACATTGCTGGAAGGCCTGGGAACAAGATATTGTTTAGTTTCAATATTAAGGTGTCCTTTTGATAACAAAAAAAAGAAATTTAAGTCGACCGTCTTTCCGGCGATGAGCCAGCGTAGGCAATTCAAGCAACCGAAGCGTTTTAGAAACGGAGTCACTTTGTGAATAATGCGATAAAATTAGCCTTGCGGCTTTTCTCTGCATTTTTTCAATTCGATTTATTAACCCCGACTGGAATGGGTCCCACACTGCACTGGCGTATTCTAGCGCTGGCCTTATGTAGGTCAAATATGCAAGCAGCTTAACGGATGGTGTTGCTAGCTTTAGTTTGCGACGAAGGAACCATAACTTTTTTTCTGCAGCTGCACAGATGCTGTTGACGTGCAGTTTCCAACTTAAGTCATTTGAAATGATTAAGGCTAGGTATTTTATCGAGTCAGCTTCGCTTAGAGTTGTATAGTTCATCTCATATTGAAATTTAATTACAGGCTTTTTTCTGTTAGTAACTCTGAGCATAACTGATTTAGATTCATTGATTTTCACTTGCCATTTAGTGGCCCATCTTTCTACGGCTCTAAAAGCTTGCTTAAGTGACGCCTGATCATTCTGGTTATTGATTTCACGGTATATTAGGCAATCATATGCGAACAACCTGATTGTTATGTCATCCCTTACGTCATTAGCAATATCATTTAAGTAAATAAAAAAAAAAGCAGGGGTCCGAAAACAGATCCCTGTGGTACGCCTGAAGTTATGTTTAGCAGATTCGATTTGTTGCCATTTATTTCGACGTATTGTGTCCGACCTGTGAGGTATGAGCGGATCCACGCTACAACTTCATAATTTATATTCATTTCCATTAGCTTATTTATTAAGTTGGTGTGCACAACCCGGTCAAAAGCCTTCGATAAATCTAAAAATATAGCGTCGATCTGCTTTCTGTTATTTAGTGCAGTCGAAAAGTCATTAATTGTTTCTACGAATTGTGTAACAGTGGATACGTTCAGTCAAAAGCCGTGCTGATAAGAAAAAAAATGCCCTCTTGTTTTCACGATAACCGTAGATTGTTATTGATATCATGTGCTCCAGAAGCTTGCAGCACACGCACGTCAATGAAATGGGCCGGTAGTTTCCTTGTCTTGCTTTCCACCTGACTTGTGTACTGAAAGAACTTCTGCAACTAGCCAATCATCTGGGATTCCTTTCTGTACTAGCAATGCCTTAAATATAATCTCAAGATAGCGGCCTACCCATTCTGAATACCTGCATAAAAACACATTCAGTATACCATCAGGGCCTATGGATTTTCATCTTTAATATTAAGCAAAAGTGCTACAATACCTTCATATGACACCTCTATCTCGGGCATTGTTGAAATGTATGGGGATTGTAGCGCAAAGGGTGAAAAATCATTTGCGGAACTATCAGTAAACACTGATTAGAAAAAGTCATTAAAACAAGTTGCGATACCAGAGAATTTCATCACGAGTTCATCATTATCGACAATGCCTCTAGGACCCTCGTTATCTTGTGACAAATGGCGGCAAAAACGGTGTGGGTCATCCTTCATAAATCCAGTCAATGTAACATAGAAAGTTTTCTTAGCCGCAGTCAGCTTCGTGCGCAAGGCAGTGCTTAGTGCGGAAATTTTACTGTCATCTTTAACTTTTTTCGTTCACTGCTAATTTTTCGTTTTAAATGTATTTCAGGGGTTATCCAAGGATTCTGTTTATTTTTGTTTTTCTCTTTTATTGGGATAAACCTACCAATGCAGTGAAATACTATATTTTTAAGTTCACCCCACATT